AATCATGAAGTTATAACAAATACAAACAAACTTAGGTACACCTAGCAACACAGCCTCAAAATACAAACAGTAAAAATGAACAAAATTATTAAGAGAATTTTATAATCTCCATTCATAATAGGAGATTTTAACACATCTATATCAGGAAATGATAGATCGCGTACACCAAAAATTAGTAAGCAGAGAAAGATTTGGACAAAAGCTGAGCTAAAAAAAAGATATAAGATACATATATATGTAGAATATGTTAATCCATATGTGTGCAGAGGGGGAGAAGGAGGGAGAGAGAGACATTAAAATAGAGATTCCCTGCATGTAAAATAGAGATTATATATCCTTTTTAAGTATACATGGGATACTGACCATATGCAAAGTCATAAAGGAAATCTCAATGTATTTCAAAGAACTGATATCATTCAAACCATTCTCTGGCCACAAGGCAATTAAATAAGAAATCAACAATTAAAAAGTCTAAAAACAACTTAATAATATTATATATATAATTAAGCATCTTTTTATTTTAAACTTTACAAACATTTCCTATACAATTACAGACTTCCTATTATTAATGACTACACAAAATTCTACGGAACATATGTGCCTAGAATTTAACCATTTCCCTATTGTTATATTACATGGCCGGGCGCAGTGGCTCACGCCTGTAATCCTAGCACGCTGGGAGGCTGAGGTGGGAGGACTGTTTGAGCTAGGAGTTCAAGACCAGCCTGAGCAAGAGCGAGACCCCATCTCTACTAAAAATAGAAAAATTAGCTGGGCATGGTGGTGCATGCCTGTAGTCCCAGCTACTAGGGAGGCTGAGGCAGGAGGATAGCTTGAGCCCAGGAGTCTGAGGTTGCAGAGAACTATGATGACACCATTGCATTCTAGGTCAGGTGACAGAGTGAGACTTTGTCTCAAAAAAACGATTACATGTTACAAAATTCCAAACCAAAAAAACAGGGGCAGTACATTAAAAATCAAGCCTTCCTCCCATTCCTGTCCCTGACTCATCCAGTTCCAGCCTGCTAGAGGCAAACATTGTTAGGAGGTTCTTATGTGTTTCTCCAGAGATATTCTGGGCACAGTGAATGTATTTTTCTTCAAATTTTACCCTATTATATATAATACTGCTATAAACATCTAGAAGAAATATTTAGTAATATATTGGGATTCCAAAGTTTTTTAATGATTCCTAATAGGGATATTATATGCTATTTTTGTATACTAAGAAGTATGAATGTGATTTAAGTTATTTTATATCACTGGCAATGGCTTGTTATACATTCTCATGATAAATGACACACACTTTCAGGGCAATAGTCAGAGGCAAGAGATGTAGTCTGTTAACTAGTATCACGGCTATGCTATATCGATCATTGTTGACTGACCATCTTGAATGTAGACCATCAGCTAAATTATCTACAGCATAGCATACATGTTATTATTAAAATTCTTCCGCTTATAAAAAAGAAGAGTTCAAAGGCCCATCAATTCATAAAACCACTAAAGTTTTTCACTCAATAAAATCAATGTTCATAAAATATTTAAAATATAAGTGTGAACATATGAATTCAAGTTTTCATCACTATCCTCTGCACTCCTTATAAAAATGCATCTAGTGA